ATTAGGAAAATACATATTAAGATCTGCATACAATCACAAAGACAAATAAAAAATGGTGGCAGTACCAAATGCTGTCAAGGATGTGGAAAAACCAGATCACTTACACATTGCTGGTAGGCAAATAAAATTGTACAATCACTCTGGAAGAGAGTGTGGCATTTTCTTATAAAATTAAAAATGAAATCACTATATGCTGTGTGTCTTGACAAAATTCATGTGTTAGGATCCTGTGCCCCACAGTGACGCTCATAGGAGGGGAGGATCTGGGAAGGTGTTGTTAGGATGGAGCCCTAAGAAGAGGCCCCAGGACTGCCGAGCCTTCTCCCTCAGGACAGACACCATAGGAAGGGAGGGCCCATCTGTGAGGAAGAGGGTTTTCTCCACACAGCAGATCTGCTGGCACTGTGGGCTCCACAGCTTTCATGACTGCAAAAAAATAAATCTAAATTACAATAAATATAATAAGTACAAAGAATAGAAGTGTTTGTAAGCCACCCATCTATGATACTTTGATAAAAGACAAATTTACCACAGATTGGTTTCATTTGTGATTCTAGAATTGGGCAACACTCCATTCCATAAAATAGTTAAGTGTTCACATGAGCTGAGCAGAAGAGATTGAGAGAGGAAGTCTGAAGAAAACAGAAACTAGTGGATTAATCATTTCAAAGTTTCATTTCTTATAAAGGAGGGACAGGGAGAGAGAACAGAAAAATAACTGGTTAACTTCTGGTTGCTTGCTTTGGTAAGGATTACAGCATAGGCATCTTCATTATTGTGCTAATTGAAGCTGTCCTTTTGAGAAATTCGGTTACATTTCACTCCTGATTTCCCAGACTTACATTACGCCTCAGTCAGGTTGGTGATGTGGAACTTAGTGTGAGTTGCTGCATTCTGACTTTTCATTTGATCGGCTGGGGCTGGTGCAGGAGCCTAGTTTATTTATACAGTGGCCTCCTATAATTTTTATTGAACAGTGCTGTGCTCCCCTGCTACCTACAAGCCGCCACATTTGTGAAAGGAAGATAAACTACAGTAAATTTACCAGTAATTCGTTTCTAATATGCAAAGTCTGCATCGATGACTTCAGAGCTTTTGTTCCCTTTGAGGACTAAAAAATGAGGAAAAACTTAGCTAGCTGGTTATTGAAAATTCAGTCTCAGGGGCTGGGGATTTAGCTCAGTGGTTCCGTCACCTGCCTTGCAACCGCAAGGTCCCGAGTTCGATCCCCAGTACCAAAAAAAGAGAGAAAATTCAGTCTCTTCCTTTCATTGTTGATTGGTAACCCAGTTTCTTTCCTCCTCAGGACTCCATTATTAGTGTTGATGCATCTTTCCACCTACATTGTATACATGAGTATGTTAAAATATTGTGAAAAATTGGGATTTAAAGAACTACCAGAGCCAGGTGTAGTAGTGCACGTCTGTAATCCCAGCTACTCAGGAGGCTAAGGCAGGAGGATTGCAAGTTCAAGGCCAGCTGAGGCAATTTAGTGAGATCCTGTCTCAAAAATATAAAAAAAATCAAAAAATGATGTAGTTCAGTGGCATGTGGTAAGCCCTGGGTTTGATCCCTAGTACGGGGAAGGAGGGAAAGAATTACCATGAAAAATAAATTTGGAGAGAATCAGAGAAATGATATATATTGTAGTCCTTTCAGAGAAAGAACGAGGAGCTAATGTTTATTAAATGTTAATATGCTCAGTATTTTATATGCGTGTCTCATTTAATACACGCTAATTCTTTGAGAGAAGTACTTTTTTATTTTTGAGACAGGGTCTCACTATGTAGTTCAGGCTGGCCTTGAACTCACTATGTAGCCGAGGCTGGCCTCAGACATTGATCCTTCTGCCTCAGCCTCCTGAGGGCTGGGTTCACAGGTGTGCACCACCACGGCCAGCGAGAGAAGTGCTTTTATTCTTATTTTTCTGATGAGAAATCTGAAGCTTAAAGAGGTTAAATAATTGTCCACTATTACAGAACCAGCCAGTGGCAGAGCCAGGATCAGGGCTTGATTCAGCTGACTCCAGATCCCATATTCTCAACCCCAGGTCCCTAAACTGAAAGTGAAAATGCTGAGTCAGATGAAAAAGAAAACAATCCTACAGAATGAGGGAAAATGGAAACCAATGATTAATAAGTTAGATTCTAGAATTACTTTACTCTTTATGCTTCCATTTGATGCATATAAAACAACACGTATAATACACATTGCCATTATGTGTCATAATGTAAACACACTCTTAGGCATTCCCACAGATCTTGATTCTGTCCCCAGTGCTGCTGAAGACGTGTGTGTCTCCAGATTTTCGCCCCTTGCTTCCTTGCTCTGGGACATTCTTTTTGCCTCCTCTGGACAACCACTTTCTTCAGTTTCATGGAAGTCACCGCATCGCATCTTTTCGAGGTGGTTGTTTAAGTATCTTGATTGTGGTGTGTTTGACATGTAATCAGCCTACGTGTTTAAAGCTCGCCGTTTGTCAGCCTTTGAATGTGCCTGCACCCAGGAAACATCCCCACAGTCAAAGTAATGAACATACTCAGGACCCTCCAAAATTTCCTCCTGCTGCTTCAAGGTATCTCCGTCCCTCCCCAGACCGAGCAAGCAACCACGAGTCTGACTTCAGTCAGTACCGATCAGATGTCAGGGTTTTTCTAGGAGCTTATATAAATGGAATCATATAGTATGTATTCTTTTTTGTCTTGTCTCTCAACGTAATTAACATACCGCTGCGAGTATCAGTAGTTTATTTCATTTTATTGCTGCATAGTATTGTGCTGTTTGGATGTAGCACGGTTTATTTATATATGCACCTGTTGACAAAATACCTGGAGTATTTTTCCAGTTCATGGCTATAACAGGTAAAGCTGCTCTGAAATATTTCTGCATGAGTTTTATATGGATATTTGCTTTCAGTTCCTCTTGAGTATTTTACCTAGCAGCGGAATGTCTGTATCACGTGGTAGATATATGTTTGAATTTTAAAAAAATTGTCAGACTGATTTTTGAAGTGTTCATACTGTTTTCTAGATACAGTGTCTGAGAGATTCAGTTGCTTCACGTCTTGCCTATAGTTGGTATGGTTGGTCTTCATAACTTTAGTACTTCTTATAGGTGTGGAGAGGTAGCTCACTGTGGGTTTGGTTTGCATTTTCCTGTTGGCTCTGAATGCTGAGCATCTCCTCATATGCTTATTTGCCGCTGTATAACTTCTTTGATGAAGTATGTTCAGGTCTTTTGCCTATTTTTTATTTGGAAAATTTTCTCAAAGTCTTCAGTGTGGCATTCATTTATACACCTCCTGTTCTACTGCTGGTTTTTTCGTTTTCTCATGTGTCTTTCAAAGATCAGAGGTTCTTAGTCCCATTTATCTTTTTAAAAAATGGATCATTGTCTTTGATATCATATCTAAGAAATCTGACCCTTACTGTAAGTTTGTAAAGATTTTTGCTTATATTTTTCCCAGTAAAGTTTGTGATCTTTTGTATTAATTTTGTATGTGATACAAGTTATAAGTCAGGGTTCTTTTCTTCTTCGTGCATGTGGTTAGTAGTGTTTGTGATGCAGTATTTGTATGTACTTGTACAAAATTGGCACGCTCACATTTCTCCTGGATAAACACTCAGGAGCTGAGTTGTTCTGTCATGTGGCTGTGGGTCTGTAGCTGTACGGTGTTGTGGTCTATGAATCTGTGTGTCCATTTTGATGCTAACATTCTACTTTCTTGATTATTGTAGCTTTATGTCTTGAACTGAGAGTATACTGCTTTTATTTTTCAAAAAATTTTTTGAGTATTTTAGGTTCTTTGCATTTTAAAATGAGTTGTAGAAAAATGTGACAACTTTTATACACAAATCTCCTGAGATTTCGATTGAGATCGTGTTGAATCTATGGATAATATTTTGGGAAAGTTAACATCGTGACAATACTGAGTCTTAATCTGAACATGATATATCTCTCATTAATTCTCCTTTAGTGTATCCCAGTAGTGTTCTAGGGCTTCAATTTGCAGGTCTTGTGAATCTTTGTTAAACTTAGCCCTAAGCATTTCACACTTTTAATGCCATTTTAAATGGTATGTTTTAAAATTTCAGTTTTCAATTGCGTACTGCTAGTGTGTGTAGAAATAATGTTCATTTCATATATTGCATAATATTTTTGTTCACTGCATTCCAGTCTCTCAGTCACACAGCCAGTCTTGCTACAAATTTTTTCGGGTAATTTTTTTCTAGCTGTCTTACGACCTTTGTATGAAGCAAACCATTGTGGAGGAATTGATTGACTTGATGGTAGAAGATAATAAAAAATATAATAGAGTTAACCATAGTCAAGTAATTGCCTTTTGGTAAAGTTCACATTTCAGAAATGCTAAGATGAACTTGGAATTGTAACTTAAAACAAAATCTTATCAAGAGTGTGTCCATGTAAAATTTGAGAAAGCTGTTTGATTGGGCAGATGTCCAGGCTGGAGATGAGTGTTTGTGAGTCATCTGTGTGTAATGGTGTTTAATGCCTGAGACCGAAGTATATAGAGCCAGTAGGGCCATGCACTGAGTCCTGAATACTCCGAGTTCAGGAATTTAGTGGATGAAGAAGAAACAAAGCAAATTGAAAAGAAACAGGCTGTAGGTTGGGGAGTCCAGTGGTGGACTTCCAATGAGGAAGGCATCCCTGAGCTGCTTGGTAGGTGACAGAATCACACACAATTTGATGAGGTTTACACTTCTTTAAAAGTAAGAGATTCAAAGGACCGGAGTTCGATTCCTGATACCAAAAAAAAGAAATTCAAGCCTTTTATTTATATGCAGGTATTTTATATGTGTGTGTGTGTGTGTGTGTGTATTATTTTGGTACCGGGGATCGAACTCAGGTCCTTGAGCTTGCACAGCAGGCAGCGAAACCACTGAGCTAAATCCCCGGCCAGGTATATATTTACATGAAATTTTTCCTGGAAGTATATTTTGTTATGTAGTTAACTTTCAAATACTTTTTTACTTCAGGTATCAAAAAATAAAGATGGAAAAGAACAAAGTAAAACTGTATCACCGTCCGAAGATGAAACTTTCTCCTGGCCAGGTCCCAAAACAGTTACGTTGAAAAGGACATCTCAAGGCTTTGGCTTTACACTAAGGCATTTTATTGTTTATCCTCCAGAGTCTGCAATTCAGTTTTCATATAAGGTAAGAGAAATAAGTACTAACATGAAAAAAATAAATCAATTCCTAGTTTCTTTTTTCCTTCATTCCTTTTTTCTATCTTGAAAGAATTAAATGTTATATTTTGTCTTCTTTTTGTTCTTAGATATTTTTCCAACTTCTAGAACAAAAATTTTAATTTTCTAGGAAAGATCATACAATTCTAAACTATTTGTCAAGTACTTACAGACTTCTTTCTAGTTTTTCTAACATATAGATGACTTTTCTTACTATCTAGAAAGGTTGTATGTTTTCTGGACAGAGATACAAAGGAAATCACTCATTAAAATATTCTACTAGTTATAGAAAATTAGTAAGATCCGAGCAGTACTTCCAGATATGTAATAGAGTGAGTCAGAATTTTAAAACACAGGTGCTTATCAGAGTGGATGACTCAAATCTGCTTCCGAGCAGAGCAGTAAGATATGGAGTAATCACAGCCGGAGCTGACACCAGGTCCTTGTTCAGTGTTCTTAATAGCTCGTTCTGGAAGTTCGCCTCACTTCGTCTTGCCCAGTGTCCCATGAGCGGTGATACTTGGCCTCCTGTAACAGACATGAGAACTGATCCGGGCGCACAATGGACCCGTGCTTGAACCTGGCCAGTGTATCTGAACGTACAGGTGTTTTTGCGAGCAGTGTCTAACTGTATCTAGAGAATATACTCTTTTAGTACAGTTTTGTTAAGCACATCTTTTCAGTAAATTGTCTCTTATAGGATAATCTTTTTTAAGTACCTAGTAGCCTTTAAAGATTATGAATAATTGCTACTTTTAGAATTAAGATTTACCAATTTGGGATTTTTAAGTTATCTGTAAAACTATTGGCTAGATGCCCTGACAATCTACTTGATCTTACAAGGTCTAAAATAGTATTAATTACATGTTAGGTCACTTATCATAGCCCTTGAAATGACATATTAGGGTTGAGGGCTTTCTTTGGTCTTTTCCTTCTTGGTTTTGTTTTGAATAAGAGCTTTGGGTCATGGTAAGTATATAGATAGTACAACTTTTATAAGATAATTTTACCAAACAAGTTAAAAATATATTCTTGCCATGCATATTTCTAGAAATGTTCAGTAGCACAGTGTATTTGTTGGTAGCGTAGTTGTCGGAGGCAGAAGCGGCTGAGTGACCCTGCTGCTGGCTCTTGTTGGTCCTGTGACTGATAAGTCACCAACAGACACCAAGACCTCCCGTCTCTCAAGCTGAGAGATGACTGGTTACACGGTGGAGTACATACAGAACACAACAGACCCTGACATGCAATGACTGCTCAGCAAATTCTAGTGATGTTTGTTCTTTAGTCTAGATGTCCTTGCAAATAGGTCTTAGTCTTTTTTACATGGAATATATATATATTGAAATCTTTTTCATTTTAATTATGTATTTTATCAACTTCCTTCAGAGGAGTCTTGTTTGTGTTTCTGTTTTGGTGGTGCTAGGGATTGAACCCAGGGCTTTGTGTACCCTGGGTAAGCACTGCACCCCTGAGGTACACCCCCAGCCCCAAGGGAACCTAAAAGTAGTTCCGCCATTCTATGAAAGATGCGCAGTTCGCGCTGTAACATCTATTATGTCGCTTAGCTGGCAGCCTTTCTAGTTATAACAGAACTGTACACAGCAGCAGCAGCAGAGGAAAACAGCACTTCACCAGCCAAAATAAAGGTCAGAAATGATGTAATAAATCATCAAGTGTCTGTTTTTCTTTTTACAGTACATGCTGACTTCCATATGGTTGAAACTCAGCAAATGTTTGAATAAATGTATTTTTATACTAGGTTTTAAGCTTGTTTTTCTAGTTTCTCAGGTGGACATAGATAACACTGCAGCAACACAGCAGCTTGGTAGCAAAGAAAGACCAAGTAAAACTTCCATATTGAGTATGAGAACTGGAATGAACCGGTCTGTTCATGTAGAGAGTTCTGGGCGCCGTAATGGCCCTAAAGGTTCTGCTAAGGTCCACACAGTACAGCGGGTGACGGCCAGACTGGTTCCCGAAGGAGGAGCCGCACCTGTCCCGGCTGCTCACTTGGCCCCTCTCGGTAGCTCCCTTAGACTTGCACTAGTGTCTCAAGTGTCTCAAGCCGAGCTCCTGATTGTTCATCCTGTGTTGGCTTCACTCATAGCTTTCTCTTCTCTGTTGTGAGGCCTCCGCCTCTCCGGCACAGGGCTGTGTCACAGAGGTCTCACTTGACTTGTACTGGGGAGAGCAGTTGGACGTGTTGGGCCTTGCTGTGAATTGTCAGTTTATACGTGTGTAATGATAAATGCTTTTTTTTTTGTAGGATGAAGAAAATGGAAACAGAGGAGGTATGCTGTAAAAGTTTTAATTTTTGTCTGAATGTATTTCTATTCATGTCTCTGTTAAGTAATAACTGAGATGCTACAGTTTTTGAAGTTTAAATATATATCAGTTTTTATGTGAGGGTTAGAAATTGTTTTTATTGTAGATTTAAACATTTTATGAATTCCATTGTCTCATTATTATAACTTAAATATGAAGTAGTTTTATTATTGATATCATTTTGATTCTAAGGAAAGTATCTGAAGTTTTCATATTAAAAGTAACCTGAAAATGCTGAATGTTTTATCAAGTAGGTTTAACTGACTCAAATATTGAAGAGGATTCGAGTTCCTTTTGTATTTAATCTTAGTTAAATATTATTTAAGGAGCTTAAAAGGAGAATTGAGCTGGGAATAGGATTTCTTAGTGGATTTCTTTTAATTTTAAATCAACATTAATGAGTTAAAATTTGTATACAATAAGATATACTCATTAAAAATTTTATTTCGAGAGCATTTTAGACTTTAAAAGTTACACCTCTAATACAGAGGATTTCCACATGTGTTTCATGTGACTGCTCCTGTGTTAAAACTTACGGAACCGCGATGCGACAGAACAGATAGCACTGGGGCTGCCACTGCTCCGGCCGTCGACTGCGAGGCCTGTGCCCGTGCTCCGGCTGGGCCACCCCGGACCCAGTCACCACGTCCCCTCCGTCTCCTCCACGCTGTGACGGCTTCACAGCCTTTTTAGTTCTTTTATTCTGTGACTTTGATATTTTTTTAACTGCCACTCAATTTTTATTTTGTAGAATGTCCTTCAATTTGGGTTTGTCTTATTTTCTTATTATGAGTTTGTTTATGCGTTTTAGCAAGAAAGCCGTATTTGTACCTATTTTAAGTGTACAGTTTGTGTTTTCAAAAATATATAACCTGTGAAACCAGTGTCCAAACCAAGATATGGTATCAGAAATAACATTTCCATCATCATTGCATAAAGTTCCCTGGTGCTCCTTTCTTACTTTCCTGGCCCTAAGAAATCACTAATCTGTTTTCTGTCACCAGTAGATTAGTTTTGCCTCCTCTAGAATTTGTTTGTTTGAGACAGGCTCTCACTATGTAGCCCAGGTTGGCCTCAAACTCACTTAGATCCTCCTGCCTCGGCCTCCCAAGTGCTGGCATTATAGGCATGTGCCACCACGCCCAGGTCTTCTATAATTTCTTTTAAGTGGAACAATGCAATGTATACTCTGTGTCTTTTGCCTGGCGTATTTTTGAAGTTCACCGTATTGTATGTATACCAATAGTACCACCTTTCTTTTCTTTGTTTTGTTCCTGAGTAGTTTGTATAATTATTTGTAAGGCTGAGTCCTTAAGTTGTTTATCCTCTCACCTGTCGGTGGGCTTTGTGATACCCACATCTTACAGTCCCACGTGAGGTCTTGGACAGGGTTAAGATGAGTTGGGTTAGATGAGACCCAAATGGCTTATTTTGGCACCGTCGAAGGTAATGAAGATGTAAGGCCAGGTAGGCCCCTTTGTAGTTGTTCCTTGGGCAGGATGGGCCATTTCTCTGGCACCATCTGTCTTGGACAGGGGTTCAGAATGAATTCCAAACACTGCTTGGCGTGGTTTAGACGCAGGCTCTAGTGGGGAAAGGAAGCCTGTGACGAAGCCCAGCGGCACCAAGTGGCGAGAGAGTGCGAGCTCTCTCTGCCTCTCGTTCTCCGGGCTGGTTGCTAAGCCTGGCAGTCACCAGTGTCTGGAATTCCATGCTTGTTTGGGGGAAGTATGTATCTTAATAAATGTAGAAACCTGTGTGCAGGTCATTATGGATTTGACGTAACTTACTCAATTCAGGTTTAATGTGCTTTGATGGGGGGAATAAACATAAACATTTGCAGGGGAAAACTAGAAGATCTAAGCTGAATGGGAAGATTTGGAGTGGAATGGTAAAACGAGACTGTAAAAAGTGTGATCTGCTGGGAAAGATTACAGTTTACTTATTTATTAAGTTATATTTAATATTATTCAAGGAAAGTTTTTGTCCACATACTGAACTATAGTTAAGATTCAAAAAGAAAGTTAAGTTTAGGGTAAGAAAGATAAATTGATGTTCAACAAGATTTAGTACACATAAATTGATGCATTGAATTTACATCATTATCAAAGATGGGCTATGAGTTTGAGTTTGAATTTTTCAGGGTCCAAAGAAAAGGGGAGACTGAGTAGTAATAGGGACACACGTTATCCATGAGAAAACGACAGTCTGCTTACCCCAAGTCTGGCACAGGTATCTCTCTGAGCTACCATACAGAAAACAGAGTAATACAGCTGATAACATCCTCAACACCAGGTCTTCATGTGACTGTTTGCAGTGCTTCTTCAGTGTCAGGTGACTTCAGAACCCCAAGATCCAATTGAGTTTTAAGGCCTTCCAGCTAGGGACAGTATTGTTCCCCAGGGGATATATTGGAAATGTCTACAGCCATTTTTCATTGTCACAGTTGGGGAGAGGGGATTGTGCATCTAGAATGAAGAGGCCAGAGGAGCTGTTGAACATCCCATAATGTAAGAAATGTATAAAACCCAGAGATAGGAACTATGTTTTGTAAGAAGAATATGAAAAGATCTGAGAGTGCCTAAAGATGCTGGTTTATAATATATTTGGAAAAAGAACTGCTTGAAGTTTTGGGGGAAGGGGAGAAGGGTGATACATATATATCACTAGCATTTGATTGAGACCTTACTCCAGATATCAAAATATGTTTACCCCTCACTCTAACCCTGTGAGACACAAGGTAGAATCCCTGTATTATAGATGGAGGAATGGAAAGTAAGAAAGGCAAAACAGCTTACACAGATCACAGAACTGTTAAGTGACAGAACTGAACTTTCAAGGCAGTTGTGTCTAACTCTTTAAATCCATCTTCTTTTGACTTATGTTGACAATTTTAAATCTCCTTTTTGATTTCTTAATTTTGTTTTAAAAATAATTGTGTCTTAAAAATGGTTTGACTTAATGTAGGACCAAGAGTCAGTAGATAAATCTAGAGTATATTTAATATGTTGAGAAATTAACTCTATGAAGTCTGCATTGAGAAAGTTAAAATGGAAGAAATTCGTTCTGTATCTGTGAACACCTAAAGATAAACAATTCACATAAAGGTCAGGGAGATCCCAAGTTCAGAGGCCCGAAAGACCTCATAGGTATTTTTTGATCACCCTTTTGATGTAATTTATTTTGATTCAACAGAAGTTACGATTTTTATTTTCACAAGTCTCATTTCCTTTTAATATACATTTCCAAGTCTAGTGATATTAGGAAACCTTTTTATGTAAGAAGTTTTATTTTAATGTAATAGAATCCCAGACTCCAGTGTCCTGGTCAGAGTCAAACCCTAGAATCACAGGAGAGAATACAATGCCAGAATTGTGTTCACTTTCTTAAGATCCTGTTAGAATGCCAGAATTCTGTTAGACAGTTGAAAGGTTTTCTTTTGATATTCTTTCTTTGGCAGTTTAATGAAATCTCTTTCACTACTTAATTTTCTGATTTATTTTACTTACCCAACTTTTCCATTGTTTTGTATGCATGTACTCTTTTGTATTTTTAAAATTATTTTTTTCTTGTTGATTTTTTTCTGTATGATGATAAAATAATATAAGAAAAAGCCATAGAATATTTAAGTAGAAAAATCCTTTTTGGTGGTAACAGTTACTTGCGGACAGTTGCTATTTTGTTGCTATCTTACCCTTTAAATCTGTGGAGAAAACATAAGTAATTAAAATAAGAGTAAGATCACTTATATCTACCTATTTCTTGAGTTAAATTTCTTAGTTTAGTTTTAGGGATATTTCCACTTCTCTAAAATCTGTGTATCATTTTGTTAAGGTGCTTAAATAACTTTTAAAATTTATATTCAAGTATGTTACTAATAGAAAAAAAAGGAATTAGGAATTCTATGCATTCTGCATTGTGATTGCAGTTGTTTCTGCTAGAGTAACTTCAGTCTGTATTAGAGTGAGCAGATAGTAGCAAGAAATAGAAAACTCCTCAAGCCACCTGTCTTAGTGACTTTTGTTGTCACTGAGACACAATATCTGACACCCACAACGTTTATTTTGGCTCCCACTTTGTGGAAGTTTCAGTCCACAGTAGGCTGGCTCCAAGGCAGGTGGCAAGGCAGAGCTCATGGCAGGGCAGGCCAGAAGCGGAGGGAGGTCAAGGGAGGAGGGTGAGAAAGACACCTCCAGCCCCACCGCGAGTCCCCTCAACCAGGCTTCACCACCCTACATCCCCTTTAGCTGTAACTCATCAGTGGCCAGTCTGAGTTCCACACCCCATGCTGCAGTCACCTCCCAAAAGCTGCCCCCTGTGAGCGCTTGAGGCTTTGGGGGAACGTCCAGAGAGAAACTAAACCACCACCTCAGGATAGCTGTGTTAATTTTAATAAAATTCAGGACCAGTGGAATACCCAGGACCCCCAGACACCAAGATTGGAACCTGGAAAACTACTGAATGCATAGGGTAGCAATGATGTCTTAGATTTTGAGCTTCCAAAGCTCAAACTCTGTTATTTCAACTCTGGCCGATTTGAAGGCTATTTGTGGTGAATTTGGCACCATTTCCTCAGGAGCCAACCTCTAAGGTGCACCTTTACTCTGTCTTGTCTCCCTTCTGTCCCTTCCAGACCTACAAGTGTGCCAGGGACTATTCTGACTGCACGGATTAAGCTGTCCAGCTCTCACAGCAGCTCTCAGGGTGGATATGATTTTCACCCCTGTGTTTTAGGTGAGCAAACTGAGGCATAGAGTGTTTAGCTCAAGCGGTGGAACTGGGCTAAACCTCAGTCTGGTTCTGGAGTTTTCTCTCTGAATTTCTCCCGTAGCCTCTGAGAAAGTACTTGACTTCCATATAACTCATTCTTCAAAATATGTACAGAGGGTTATGTTCCCTTAAAAGATAACTAGTAGTAAAAGAACCACGGTTCAACTTTTTAGATACGGTTTTGGCTAACACAGCA